GAAAAAGAAGAATTCAATGAAGTATTTACCGAGCCAAGTTTATTACCGTCTCCTACTCGCCCATCCTTGAACAGACCGGATTCTGAATACTATTTTAATACTACGGGCTCGCCAACTCAATCCATTTTCCGCATTAATGATACTCCAGTATCCGCAGATATATCTTCTTCGGAAGCCGAAATATTAAGAAAAGTAGATTCTCGAATTAACGAAAAATTTTGGTTTTTAGAGCAAACCTTAAGTCGTCATTATTTGGCAGGGTTCCGATTAAGAAAATACTATAATGATATTAATAGCAAAAGTAATAATGATGGAAATGACACTGACAATATAGAACAACATTTTGAGCAACCAACGGCAAGAACAAATACACCTCAGTCTTTTAATAATACTCATCAAAGAATTAAGTTAACCATGCCATCTCCAGTTGTATTAAATTCAAATAATGCTGCATATTTTCAACCAAGTCAACAAGTACAAGAAGTTTATTCTGAAACGACTGGTCATGCTGATATTGAATCGTTGAATCATACATCTCAATAACACGTTTCATTAAATGAAGTTCCAAATAAAAATATTGTAATAATTAATACAAACATATTTATATTTTATACAAATATGTATTTTGAGTTGCAATATATTTATACATGTAGTCTAATTTCTGATTCTGTTTTTTTTTATAATTTCTAATTTGGTTAATAATCAGGTTGAACTAAGCATGTATGTAGTAAAGAAATAAATGTACATGTATAAACACTGTCATTTTAATTAACGTTACCCAATAAACAAAAGGCTTACTCTAACTTTTGGGCGGAATTTGTGGTTCATATTCATGACACAAATAATAACGTTAAGAAAAATTTATGGTTGAGTATTAAATTAAACAAATCCGTAAAACTTATCGTTATGCTTATAAACCGGATTACACTACCGATATGAAAAATCAAGTTTAAAACAGACGGGATTTTACCACTATCATTTTTGGGAATTCTCAAATGCTGTGGGGTTAATTGCATATAACGATAATAATAAATACAAACAACGATAAGGTTGCATTTGTTTGGTATCAACATACATGCATGTTGATCCGATTAAAAAACACACGCTACTATTGTTAGCTACGATGCGACATTGTGAGAAGTCTCCGATCTTAGAAATTATAGTTTAAACTGAACCGATGCATCCCTCTGAAATTTCTCATAGTTTAAACAATGCTGGATTTTCTTATGATCAGAGGTAAGGGTGACGAATTCATCTCGTTACTTATGAGTAATTCTAACTAAACAGTTTCTTCTGAATAGCCTTTACTTTCTCAAATGATGTAATATTTACCGAAATGCTTAAAGAGAGACAAGAATTAAGTGATTTATCAATCATTTTTTTACAATTATATTATAATTTACATAAAGTTCATATTATCGTTTAGATATAAAATCGTTGGACTATTTAAAGAAAGAGGTTTTTCTAGAAGCGGAGGGCAAGCAGATGTTGGACAAATATTTCCTGAATCAT